AGAAAGTCCAGGGAGCAAGAGCGGAAACCCCGCAAATTCAGCAGACGCAGGAAACAACCCGCCCAAATCGCAGCGACGCAGAAAAGGATGACGCCCCTGCGAAACAGCGCAGAAGCAGACGACGCCCCTGCGATCACGTCGAGCAGAGCGCAGAAGCGGCGACAACTCAAGCAGAGCGGCGACGACGAAGGAGATGCGACGCAGAGAGCAAGAGACACGATAAACCGAGCGACGCAGAGAGCCGAATCCAAAGCGGCAGACGTGAAAAGCCGACGAGGAATGTTAAGCAGAGACGAGAGAGATCGAAGCAGACACTAGGGTTCGCCGTGACCTTCCTGTAATGTTTATATACGTATGTATATGTATGTATATGTATATATATGTATGTATATGTATGTATATGTATGTATATATTATTTAAACTTCTTTAATAAATGAAGCTGGAGAAAAATTTGCGTACATAAGACGCACGCAGCGTTGCACACGTCAGGTATGTTACAGGAGAGTATTGGGGGTTATATCTGCGTTTTACCTCCTGTAACCTTTCTGTAATCTACCTGTAACTAGTAAGTTCGTGCTTCTGTTTTCATATATTTTTGGGTAGTTGCAATTGCTCAGTTTGGTACTTTCAAATTCACCACGTCTTTCCTTGTTGATAACAAATTGATATATTTTCCTAGGAGCCAGGTTGAGAGACTGGCGGAGAAATTGAGGGTCGGCGACGGTGGCAAAACCATGGAGGCGCGACATCACCATTGACGAAACTGGATGCTGCATGGCCGACGATGAAATCCATGATTGTATTGCTGTTTCATTTGATCGATGCCGCTTGCTGGTTGGATGTTCATCGGCAATGGAGGTGGTCCTCATCGGTGTTGTTAAGAGAAGAATTCTAGGCGGTGAAGGCAAGAGCTTCAAAGCAAGAGGATCATTCGGGAGACGAAACAAGCAAAGGTGGGGTAGTTTTGTGGCTTCAGTTTGAATGAGCAAGCCAGAGAGGACTTCGATGGGACCGACGAGGGTCTAACGATGGCAGAGCGGTGCTATGCAAGGAGCAACTGGTGAAATTGGTAAGATAGAAGTTTCAGAGGACTTTGTAAGCCACAATCCCACCGTTGCTTTTTTCGCTCTCTCCAATCGCGAGTGAATCATAAGGGTTACAGTCACGATAGAGGAAGATGGACGATTCTCTTTTTTGCAAACAAGGAGAAAATCCCATGCCAAAGTTTTGTTTTGGCTTTCTGATTTAACAAGAAAAGGTTTTAACCTCATTTCTTAGTAGAGAAAAGGAGTCACTTCTAAGGCTTTTGACGACCACCCATTGCAACTATTACATCTCGACTTGAATAAAAAAATTTCAGCGAAGAAGTGTGGGAACAATTATTGATGTGTTAGAGAGGGAATATGTAGGCATTTATGGGTTTCAATTTACTTAATTTATTTATTTTCCGCTTTTTTATTCAATTTTTAGCAGTCAACAAAAAGAAAAGCCTTCCAAGAGAACCCTTATGTAATATGGCTCATTATAGCCCTATAAAAAAATCAATCCATAAACTTTCGCGACCAAGCCCGAGGGCTTGAAATTAATCAAGATTGATATGAATGATCGGACGGTGAGATTTGAGTTTTTAATATTCAGTATTATTTAACAAATAAAAAAGTCACTAAAAAGTTTAGTTAAAATAATATAATTAATTTAACTTCATTGCAGGTGTTTGTGTTCTCTATGAATAATTTCTCATATATTACTCGTCTTTTAATCAATTAATTACACATGAAAAGTTAGTTTAAATTACAGTGAGTTAACCAAAACCAATATACACTCACTCTCCTAAATTAAAATAATACAAAAAAAAAAAGAAAATAATATGCATGCTAGCTAAGCTTTTAATAAATTAGTATAAAATATTTGATAATTTATGAATATAATCACTCATGATATTTCATGCTAATCAATGTGTTTTACTATATCAATAACATATCTATAACATTCAATATCTGTACAACCGTCACAGAAATACCATTAAAAATTGTACCAGTTAAGGTACTTCAATTTTCATTTATGTGCACGGGTACCTTAGCGTTCTCCTGCTAGTGCCATAAATGGGCGAATCCATCATAGCAAATAATGCACATGCAAAATATTATAATAAACGTTATTTAGTAATGATTCTTTCATTCTCATTTGTATAACAATCAATATACTTTTATGTGATTTAATATCTATGATAATTTAAACACTACTGAGTATACACGCCACTCCAATAATATGAACAAAATTTAATATAACCTTACATCATGGGTATGCAATGTTATAAATAGAACTGTAAGAAGAAGCAACATATTACTATAGCATAAGAATATGAGTACTCATCTTGATGAAGATTTATTTGTTCTTGGATTTGCTATAATTTTGACTTTTCTAAAATTGAATGCGTATAACTAACATGGTATTCATATTATGAAAATTAATTTATTCATATTATGTTAATTAATTATTAATTTTACATTATTTAAGTATTAATTTTCATCATGTTACTTTATGAGATCCTAATTAAATTTATTTTTCTATACAATATATATACATTAAATTATAATAGAAACCCAAACTTACTTTACAGATGCTTGCTTAGGTCAATCTCCCTCCTCTAGTTTTAAAAATTACTTTTAAATCTCGGTCAAGTTCTAATCCACGCGAACGAAAAACTCATATTCCCCCCTCTGCACTCGAGGTTCGCCTCTTTTCTATATGCATGAGAGCTCCTTCCTCTTGTCTTCCTTCGATCGACCAGGGAACCACTCCTCTTTCCGTCGTAGTAGCTTTCTCCTACAGAGTCGCCCGACCTTCGCACCAAAAGCCTTCTGCATGTGTAAACGACATCACCGTCTTCTCTGTCGTAGATGCATGCGATAGCCACCGCGTTTTGAGGCTCTTTTTCTGTTGTGCATGTCAATCAACCCTAAGGCAACAATTTATAGAAAGAACATACCCATTCGTGTTCTCAACTGTTCCTTTTCTCTCCCTCTCTTCGACTCCCTCTTTTCGGCTCCCTCTCTTGGACTCCCTTGAGAAGATGAAACGAGCCATCACATAAATATTGGCCAGCCATTGAATTGCAACAAATTGCACAAACAACTAAACACCATTTTAGAAGAAGATCTAACACATGAAGTGTAATGGAATTAATGTAATGAACAGTAAAATAAAGCAAAGATAATAACAAGGAAATTTGCATGAAAAAGAAAAGGACTCGAGGGAAATTTATGTTAGTATTTTTTTTAATTTGGATAACTATTAAGTCCCTATATTATGTTTAAAAATTTGAAGAAATACTTGGCGTTTTGATTTAAGATGAATAATTAGTAATTTTGGAAAAAGAATAAGTGAATAATCAAGAAAGAGATCCACTCGAGGTAGTTTGCCAAATATAATGTTTAATTTTATCTCTAAGAAAGGTTCTTAAGCTTATAATAGGATAAATAAAGTAAAAAGATTGCAATAATAAAATTCTTTATAAAAATAAAATTGAAAGATTAAAAGATTAAATTATTAATATTAATACCAACTTGTATTTGTATATAATAATCGTTTTGAAAGTTATGGATCTTGTGAAAGTAAAAGGAAGATCGTAAGAATATATAAAGAGAGAGCGTGTACAAATTTTTTTTTAGAAATTAAAAAATATTAAATAAAAAATTTAAATTCGTGGTTATGTTTATATGTGCTAAACTAAAGGAGTTGGCAAGTAAGGATTAGATTACATCACAACTTTCTAAAAGTTATGGTGAGTAATTACTTTTTCTAAAACTATATTAAATTTATTTTTTAATTTTTTTAATTGCAATTCATGTTTTCAGAGATTAGGTCATGATGATATAGACAAATTAAATAAATATTTAATATTTTAAAATGGTTCCATATAATATGCTTACGTTGAAAACTTAAAAATTAATTCTACGATTGAAAAAAATTAAATGAGAATTAAAAGAAAAATAAATGTATAAATTCATTATAGGAATCAACTCCTTCTGGTATTAATTGGGGATACTATTGTTTCCATGGATGCAAATAAAAAGAGAAAAATGCTTGGAAAAAGAAATAAAAATGGATGTGCCTTTTGGTACAATATTTTTAAACAATGTTTCTGTGATAATTTCTTAAATAAAATACAATTAAAAATGTGAAAAAATATTTAATTAAAGGAAATGCAAATAATTAAAGGATTTTTATCTTTTTTGAACATGTATGTTTTAACATATGCATAAAAAGTTTAGTTCACGGTAGAAATATAATTTAAAAGTTCTGTTTAACTGTTTGATTTAGGAAATACATCTTTGAGTTAAATAATTCACATGAGAGATTATGTTTATGTAAGAAGATTTGAAAATATATATAAGTAATACATTTTATCTTGTGTTAAGTTTCTTTTCTAAAATTGTTGTTGCAATCTGAATATTTTTATTTTATGCAAGATGTTTTAGAAATCAAGCGGTTCTGTTACTTTTGAAGGTTTGAATGATTTGTTGTGGTTTGTTATAAATATTAGAATAGTATGAAACTTCCTTCAAATGGTTTATTGCCGCCTTAATAATTCCAAGCTCTCTGGAATAGAACTAGACTTTTTTTAACAGTTGTTGGGCCATGATTCTTAAAGTTTCCTTTGTTATTCAAGGAAGCAGAATCCTAGAATATAATGCAATGCGAAATTGGGCCTGAACTTTACCTTAATGGGGGTTAAGTTTTTGTTTAGTAGTTGTTTTGATTAATAGTCTTGGTTGCTGAACTAAAACATTATGGGGGTTAAGTTTTTGTTTAGTAGTTGGTTTGTTTAATAGTCTTGGTTGCTGAACTAAAACATTAAAGATGTTTGGTTTTATTTGCTAAAACGTGATTCTCTTTATAACTTAAGACCTCACTGAAACTTGTTATATGAAGTTATTTATGATCAGATAAAACTAAATTAAGTCCAAAATTACCACTAAGGTTTGTTTCTTGACAGACTATGTTACTTAAGAACATACTCATGACAAACTTTGGAGAGGATGAAGACCTACTTCTAGGAGAGCTGCAATTCTCATTTATCGCATTCATGGTAGTCAAATATTCATTAAACTTTTTTTTTTTTCAAAATTCATTCGTCCAAGGCATTTGCATACATAACACACAATTCTTATGTATTAACATATCTCACACTTAAAAATTTCATATTTACAGACATAGCACTCAAAATTTTAATATCACAAAAAATAGCACCAGTGTAAGTGAAATATATCTTTTCATGCAAAAGTTTAAAATGCCAAAGTGCTATATACGTAAATATGTAAGTTTAGGTGTGAGATATGTAAATCCATATAAATTGTGTGCTACCTATGTAAATTTTCCTTTATTTTTTTTGCACTGAACACAGCAAAGAAATGCAGATGGGGCAATCATTGGAAGCTTTTATCCAGTGGAAAGATTTAGTAAGCCTTTTTTTCAGCTGTACTGAGGCAGTAAGTGTTCCTTAACACCATTACTTGGCTTCTGTAGCTTTCTGCAGTTGACTCGATGTTTCCTTGTTTTATTTTTGTAAATTATTTTTGTTGATAACTCCTGACATTACATTGTTTTAATGCTATGGATGCACTTCAAGATCCCTTACCACTACATTGTGCTAAATTTCTACATTGTTAATAATTGTCAATCTTTTATCACAATTCATGATGATTGGTAGTACAAAACTGGCAAGCAGTGCCTTGCTTTACTAGTTGTGTTCTAAATGCTTATAAAATCTTCAAGCTAATTATTGCTTTGCATTTTTTGTTGGTGTCAGTTTAATTGATTTTAACACTTTAACAACAACAACAACTGTTGACCTCATTTTTGAGGTAATTACTCTTTTCCTTAGGATCTTAGGATCTAGCTCTAGGTATTCTATTGACTATTTTAGAAAACTAGAGCTTGAACCCATCCCTTTAGAAATTCCAACCACTTCTCGATTCTCTTATGGTGTCTCACCTGGGTGTTCTCAAACTATCGTCCTATGGTCGAGTGGTTAAGGGCTATCATGTGGAGACTCAGGGAGAAGGAGAATCTCAAGAGGATTTCAAGCCTTAGGAAAATCTCTTAAGGACTTTATTATCACACACACACACAAACACAAAATACACAAAATTCACTAAATTGCACAAGGTCAGACTAAAATTGAACTTAAACAGATTTAATAGATGGGTGAAAATGAAAACTTCTCCGGACGACCACCGATGATAAAATGGACCACGCCAACGCGTCTGAGACACCAATTTTAACCAGGAAAGACATTCATATTGCCATAATTTCCGAAAATGACACGTAAATTGATGAATTCGTCAAAATGACTTCCGATGGTAAAACAGACAGTGCCAGCGCGTCCGGAACGTTAAAATTACCTAAAATAGACATCAATTTTGTTATATTTTGACACACGAATAAAAAGTACGAATCAAATTTTATTTTCAAGGAATATTAAATATTTTATTACTTATAATATTAAAATTATAATCCTAAACCCTATTTCCCTTCTACCCACACACTTAAACCCTCGTCTGACTCGTTCCATGGCTCGATACCGTGGCTTGATCCCGCGGTGCTCGTCCCACTCCCCTCGTGTGCCTTAGTTCCCGCGGACAATCCACGCGGCAATTTCTTCTCCCTTTCTCGACTCTTCCTTTGCCGTTCGCATACGCGGCTCGCCTCCTCGAGCTCCCCTCGACTTTTTGGCTCTCCAATTGCAAGAGGCAAGCTGGCCGACCCTTCTCCTTGTCGAGGCTTTACTGTCTCCCTCTTTACTTTAGCAATTACTATCTCGTCGTGTGATTCGTTTACTAGTGAGGCTGGTTGGTGGCTCTTTCCCCTCTCTTCTATGCCTATAAAATGACTTCTTAGTTTACTGTTTTGGGTTGTTGAAAATTTTTTGAGAGAAAAGTGAAGTTGTGGTTTTACTGTTGGAGGTCTTTAGAGAAGAAAACTCTGCTGAAATCTTTCCTAAGTTTGATTCTCGTGTGCTTGGAGTGTGGAGCATTCGTGGTGTGCTGTTTTCTGAGGCTTTTAGGAAGAGAAGCTTTGCCGAAATCCTTTCAAAGCTAGAATTCTCGTGTGCTTGTGGTGCGGAGCATTCGTGGTTGCAAATTTTGTTTTAAATCTGCTGAAAAAAGGTATTCCCCTCTCCTCTATTTTTGCACTATTTCGGATGAACTTCCTATCTCTTCTAAAATATGTGGAAGCAAGATTTGGGTATGTTTTGAGATTTAAGCATGAAATAATTCCTATAAACATCAAAATATAGCATGTATGGGCTGCCTTTGTTCTTCTTGCTTGAGATATTTGGAAGTATCATAGTGGTAGTTTTGAAATGAAATTTGCCCCTATAGAAATGCATGTTAGAATGGATTATCAGAGCTCTTTATTATTATTACTCATGTTCAAAACGAATGTTGGAAAGTGCTGGCTCTAAAAAAAAAATCTATTTAGGCTTATCAATTTCATATTATCTATCACTATTTGAAAGCAAATGCTGGAAATTTTCTCTATTTTTGCCCCCTTGTTTTTTCGCTCGGTTTCATCCTTATGCTGCTCGGTTTTGCCCCTTGCCTTGGTTTTGGTTTTTTTTTATTATGCTGGACTGGATGTTAGCTGGAGTTATGGTTCTGTCATGGCCCATTTGGAGGGCCCGGTTTTGGCTTTATGATAGCTGGAAATTGCATTTTCATTTAGCCCATGTGTTGGGCTCGGTTTTAGCTTCTATTAGGATGGATTTAACTGAAATTTTAACATTATCTTTGGCCCACTTTGTGGGTTCGGTTTGGACTCTTTTGGAATCAAATTTATGCTGGAAATATTCTTTTTGTTTTGACCCACTTGTTGGGTTTGATTTGAGCTCTTTTGGAATTAAACCATGGATGAAAATATTCTCTGTCTTGGCCAATTTGGAGGGCTCGGTTTTGGCTTTGTCAGCTAGAAAATATGATTATGTTTTGTTTTTTCTTGTGGGCGGGGGTTTGCCCCTGTGTTGGGCTTGGTTTGCCCCTAGACCGGGGCTGGGTTTGGCCCTTTGATGGGCTCGGTTTAGCTTCTTTTGGCATCATGTCTTGGCTGATATCCTTGCTGTTTTTGGCCCCTTTGGTGAGTTCGGTTTTGGCTTCTTCCAGGTTGAATTTAGCTGAAAGTTTTACATTAGTTTTGGCCCATTTGAAGGGCTCGGTTTGGGCTTCTTTTGGTGTTATATGTTGGCTAAAATCTTTTACTGTTTGGTTCATTCCTTGGGCTCGGTTTGACCCCTTTGTTGGGCATGGTTTGGTTGGGGGCCTCCTCTTTAATGCTCCTCAGTTTTTTTCTTTATGGGTAATCAAGTTTGTCATCCCAAAATTCATGAATTTCAATATCTCTCTCTATGTGAGAATATTTAATGTAAGGGCTGTCATACTTTATGTGATGAAAGTGGGTTCGGTCCTAATAATTTGAAATAGCTTGTCCATTCACTCTCTTATGTATATCAAAGGCGATGTAATGGCAGTACCTATGGTGGTTTCCTTTTTGCTGCCTTGGCTGTGAGCCTTACTTGGTGCCGCTGCCTTTGTGGTCTTCTTCTTTGCCTCTACCCGTGAGCCTTAATACTATGGTTGGTGTTGTGGCTGGTTGGGATTTAGCTTGCTTCTCATTTTATCCTAGCTATGAGCTTTTCCTATGGCTCTTTTATGTTAAAGATAGTTGGTTCAGGCTTGGCTTTCTGCTACTGCCCCTGCCCGTTAACTTTATCCTATTTGCTGTCTTAAATTGTGAAGTTATGCTGAAACTTGATGATGCATTTCATGATTTTGTTACTTGTGGGCTTGCTATGAAGTTTGGCTACTCTCTTTCCTGGCCTTACCCGTGAGTCCTTTCTTTTCCGGCCTTATGCGTGAGCACTGCTCTCTTTTCTCGCTTTACCCGTGAGCTGGTTTTGGGCCTGGTTTGTTCTCTTTGTGGTCCTTGGCCGTGAGTTTGTTTGGGGCTTGGTTGCTCTCTTTCTTGCCCCTATCCGTAGGCTTATTCTGTGGTGGCCTTCCCTTTCTTGGCTCTACCAGTGAGCTTAAATGTGTGGTGGCCATTCCTCTTTATTGTTGCCCCTGGTTATGAATATTTATTTGGTCTTATCTAAATAACTCCATGATTATATGAAATAAAAATTTTTTAATGAAAGGAAGAAATTGAAAGGATTTGCGAATAGTATGAAATTGTTATTTGGAAAAGAGTTTTGGAAGTTTGATATTAAAATTTGGTTGACATAAATGCTATATTTTGATTCAGGATTACGTGTGTGAGTGCATACAAGGAATGAAGCCATGGGTATAGTGCTATGTTAATTTTGAGCCTATTTTAACCTATTTGAAACCAAGAATTGGAAAGGATTCCCTTTCTGGGTTGATCCAGTTCTATAAACTTTGAGAAAATGATATCATTTTTGGATTGATTCAAGGATCTTGGGCTCTCTTTTGAGGTTTGCTTCACCTTTTTATCTTTCGATCTTTTGGGTGGATCAATTCCTCCTCTATCTCATCCCAATTTTTATTCCTTTTTTTTCTTGTTTCTTGATTCAGTTTTCTGTGCTTATGTCTGATACATAAGTGCTCATATGTAATCTTTTGTTATATATGAGACCATCAAACAAGGTCGCAAGTAGGTCGATTTTGTTTTGGGGCGTAGGGCGATGATGACAAAGACACGCCGGTGGTAGAGCAGAATGATATCTCATTTTACAACACCAGGACTCAATTCTGGGATCTGATGAAATATAGGATGAAAGTATCATTCACTGACATAAGACTAGCGGGGGACCCGTACCTTCTTAGGTTCTTGGTGGTCCTATGCCCAATGATGTGATCAACTTGTGGACAACTATACTTTTTAAAATTGACAAAACAAATTGATAAGAACATATACAATGTTTTATAAAAAATATTTTCAATACAAAATTAAAAATAACTTTTCTTTTGTATGCTTGAAATATATGTGCATGCTAAAACTTAAATTTTAAATATGTTGCAATTGGGTTGTCCACTTGTTGATTACTGATCTTGGGCTAAGGAGTACCCTCCTAAGTTAGGTTCAGTAAGATATCCTTCTAGTGGAGTGGCGTGCTTTATACATCCGGGTGACCGATAGTAGCCTTCGGCGTCCCTCGAGTACAAATATATATATTTGAGCCTAGCCCCAACCCGAGTGCTTGTGGTCCCCTCTTTTCGGACTTTTTCATATGTTTTCTTGGAATTTTTGGACAAAGCACTCGTAGTCTTTTCTCTGGGATTTCCCCGAGATTTTGATAGTTTTATTTGAATTATTACTCGTCAATTTTCCCGAGCTTTTTGTCGTGGATTTATTTGTCGATTTTCTCGAATTTTCCAAGCAATGTTTCTTTTGATTCATACAGTGAATAATAGTTAGCTTAAAGAAGCAGCAAACCTCTCAAATATACAGATGTGATTTACATTGCAACATT